CCTCCATACACTCCTGCCCCCTAAGCTGTCTCCCTGTGCATAAACAGCTCTTCTTTCTCCCATGATTGTTCTCTCCAAGGAGTGTATGTACCTCAGGTAAATGTTCAACTCATATGCCTGTCTTTTTGTTTGGTTGGAACTATAGGCTCTTCTTGGTGTTCTTTTTCTAATTGTGGAGATGTTGGTTTAAAGTGTGGATTTTGGCTCTTTCTTCTTTTTTGATGTGTGCATTTATTGCTATAAATTGGCCTCTGATCACTGCTTTTGCTCTGTCTCAAAGATTTTGGTATGTTGTGCTTTCATTCTCATTTGTTTCAAGGAATTTTTTCATTTCATTTTTTATATTTTCTATTACCCAGTCATTTTCAGGGACGGTGTTGTTCAGTTTCCATGTGTTTGTTCTTTTTCCATTGATCTTCCTATTGTTGATTTCTAATTTGATAGCATTGTGATCTTTTGGAGTATTTCAGTGTTTTAAAATTTATTAAGGCTTGCTTTATGGCGTAACATAGGGTCTATCCTGGAGAATGTTCCATGTGCACTGGAAAAGAATGTATGTTGTGCTGTTGTCGGGTGAAGTGCTCTGTAGATGGCTATAAGGTCAAGTTGGTAGCTTGTATTGTTTAGTTCTTCTACGTCTTTGTTGAGTTTCTTTCCAATTGTTCTATCTTTCATTGAAAATGTTGGGTTAAAGTCTCCTCCTATGACTGTAGAGTCATCTGTTTGTTTTTTCAATTCTGTTAAAGTCTGATTTATGTATTTTAGAACTCTTTCATTGGGTCCATAGATATTTATTATGGTATATCTTCTTGTTCAGTTGATCCTTTAATCATTATATAATGTCCTTCCTTGTCTCTTATGGTGGTTTTTGTCTTAAAGTCAGTTTTATCAGAAATTAATATCACTACTTCTGCTCTTTTTGGTTGCCATTTGCTTAATACATCTTTTTCCAACCTTTGATTTTTAGTCTGTTTTTGTCTTTGTCTCTAAAGTGTGTCTCTTTTAGGCAGCACATTGATGAATTATGTTTTCTTATCCAATCTGCAACTCTCCATCTTGAGTGGTGCATTTAATCCATTGACATTCAGTGTAATTATCAACAAGTATGAATTGGTTGCTGTCATTTGGTTACATGTTTTTTTGTGGTGTTCCTGGTTTCTTTGTTCCATATAATTTTCTGTGCTGAGCTCATTATGTTTATGAATCATATTATCATTTCCTTTTTGCTGTTGTTTTAGTATTTGCTAAATATTTGTGCTTATCTTCTTTTTTATTGTGATGTGTGGAGGTTTATCATTTTCTTTGAGGTTACCCTATGATTTATAATTTTCTCCCCGAGTTTAGAACAGTCCATTCTTTCTTGCGACTCTCTTGTCTTCCTTGCCATTCAGAAGTTTTTTTCCCTCTTTTTGGTTTGTAGTTGTCCTCATTTGCCAATTGATGTCTCTGGTTCCATGTTTACAATCTTGTAAGCTTATTTTACTTTGGATACTTCCATAGCTATGTTGATTTCTGGGTTAGACACATCTTGTGTTTTAATGGTCAATTGTTGTTTGCTATTACTGGTTCTCTGATAAAAGGACTCCCTTTAATATCTCTTGTAAGGTTGGTTTGGTTTTAACAAATTTCCTTAATTTCTGCTTATCTGGAGCTCTCCTAATTTCACCATCACATTTGAGGGACAGTTTTGCTGGCTATATAATTCTTGGTTGGAATTTATTTCTCTTTTAGGGTTTTATATATACCATCCCATTGCCTTCTCACCTGCATGGTTTCTGCTGAGAAATCAGAGCTTAGTCTTACTGGTTGCCCTTTGTAGGTAACTTTTCATTTTTCCTGTGCTGCTTTCAGATTCTTTCTCTGTCTTTGGTTTTGGTGAGTTTGATGATGATATGTCTTGGTGATTTTCTTTTGGGGTCTGTCCTGTTTGGAGTGTGTTGGACTTCCTGAATGGATATATTCTCATCTTTCATCATATCAGGGAAGTTCTCTTCCAACAAATCTTGGATAATTTTCTCAGTGGTTTTATTATTCTCTTCCTGTTCTGGAATTCCAATTACACGTAGATTATTCCTTTTGAAGGTATCCCACATGAATCTTAGGCTTTCTTCATTTTGTTTCAATCTTTTTTTTGATTGATCACTTTCCAAAGAAGTATTCAGGTGTTTGTCTTCAGTCTCATTAATTCTGTCTTTCATTGATTCGATTCTACTCCTTTGCTCTTTCAATGTGTTATCTATTTATGAAAATTTAGTATTAATATTCTGGATTTCTATCTGTAGAATTTGTATCATCTCTAATTTTTCATTTATTTTTTTAAAATTATTATTATTTTTTATTTTTTCTAATTTTTCATTTATTTTTGTCATTTTGTTCTTGTATTTTCTTCCAAAATTGTTCTAGGATTTTGTCTGTGTTTTCCTGAATTTTGTCAATGTTTTCCTTGATCTGTCTCTCAATCCTTTGAAGGTACCCGTTGTTGTTGTTGTTATGTGCTGTCAAGTC